CATCTTATATTGAGAAAATAGTATTATATTGTATTTTAGTGGCTCATGACTAGTGACACCGGGATCAGACAGTGTTTGATGTTTTGCATAATTATCCGCTTGTTTTGAAATGTTTAAACGAAAGAATTGTGATAATATCTGATTAGTAAATGATTTAAGAAAAAAGACATGTTTATGTTATAAATGTTGAATCGGCTAGCCTTGTACTGCGATAGGCGCCATCACGACCGGGGTGGTTTGGGGTCGTGACAGAAAAGTTCTTCCTAGGATTGTTATTGTCTTCCGTTGCATGTTATGAACACCTATATGCAATCCTACACATGATTATGCTACTAAACAGTCAATTTCCTAGAGTTCAATTCCCCTTGAGCTAGAATGATATATGCATAGCGGTGGAGAATGCAAAACAACTAATTAGTAGCCAACTGATTAAATGGTGCAAACCTGATTTTGACTGGCTAAAGTAAACATTGATGGCTGCTGTAAAGGAAACCCAAGAAGTGCTAGAGGTGGTGGTGCTATTAGAGATCATCAGGGATCCTTTATTGTTGCTTTTGATGAGTATTATGACCTATGCACCAATAATTTTGCAGAGGCAAAGGCCATGCTACATGGGTTGAAATTGTGTTTAAGTAGAGGTTTTTTGAATGTAATTATCGAGTTTGATTTTCGATAATCATTAACATGATTAACAACAAAATGAAGGCTTCTTGGCAGATACATCATATCATTAAGCAGATTATTCAAATCTCTAGCAAGGGTAATTTTACTTTTGTCCATACATATAAAGAAAGTAATAGTGGTGCTGATCAACTTGCTAATCTGAGGGAAAGATTAAGAGTTGAAGTCATCTTTGATACCACTAGTTCTTTGTCGGAGATAGTGAGATCTTCACTAAGACTTGATCAAATCGGTTTCCCACACTTCAGATTCAAACCAAGGAAGAACCATTTTGCTATTAATGATGTTTCTAGATATAGCTGATTTTTGTATAGTAGTGCTAATTATATGTATAGCACCTATTAGTGAAGTTCATATATTTCAAAGTGTAATGGAGGAAATCTCCCAAAGTAGGCAGATTCTTTTGATGTTTTTGTACTAAAGAATGAGATATATCATTCTTTACAATGTTTTGGAGGCTATGGTTTATGTCCTCCTCCGTGTACTTATTTTTTTTGATGATATACGAATTGGGGCTACTGTCTGAACCCAAAAAAAAGAAAAAAATGGCTAAAACTTTATTTTTGTTATAAAATAATAAAAGAAGAATATTGCAAAGAAAGAGAGAGAGAATTCTTATTACTTTGGAATGAATTACAATGGAATGGAACCCCTTTATTTATAGGAAAAAAGTAACTTAGCAACCAAGTAACAAAACCTAAGATCTTTCTAAAATATAGACATTCACCTTGAATAGAATTGTATTTATAACACTCCCCCTTGAATGTCTATTCAATAGATAATGTGTCTCGTTAAAATCTTAACTAAAATAAAACTAGTGAAAAAATATTCTAGAGAAGGAAAAATAGTACACATATCTAACAATACGTCTTTTGGTTGCCTCGTTAAAAAACCTTGCAAGAAAAACTCAGTGGGACAAAACCTTATAAGGGAAAAAGAGCACAACGCATATTAACTCCATTGATGAAAGCACTAATTCATATCTTTGAGCATGCACATCTCAATGTTGTGTACTAGCTTCTTGAAGGTTGACATCGGTAGAGATTTGTTGAACAAATTAGCCATACTATCACTTGAATTAATATGTTGCACCTTCAAAATAACCATTCTTGTATATATGTAATCTCTTCATATAATGTTGTAGAATAGCTTTTTCAGTATCTCCATAGAGGTATTCTCGCTATCACATTATCATGCTTATAATTATAGCAAGATACATATATGCACAAATAGCACTTAGAATGTGGTACATCATGACCAAAAAAATATATATGCTTTAAGCGATTAAATCCTTCAAGGATTGTCATATAAGTTACGTCATATAAGCCGTATAATAGACTTTAGATGCATAGCAAGTTTTAATGTCATGCTAGACAAATAAGATATCGAAAACTGATTGCACATATCATTGGCTTTATACTTTCAAGTATTTGAACTACATGTCTTTCATATAAAACTAATTCACTTCGAAATTGTTTCTCCAGACTTAAGATCCTCATATATATATTTAGCTCTATCATAGTTGTCGTCGACGAACATTTTATATCAGTTCCAATATTGTTTTTTCATAAAGACATAACATAGAGATCTCTTTATTAATATTTTCAGGTACCTAAACCTCTCTTGAGATTTTATGAAGTGTTATTGTCATGTGATCTTCTAGATCACTTGCCTCCTTATTATTATCATTTTGATCATTTGCTCATCTTCTTTATCAAGAATTTTATTTGAAACCGATTTATCTATATACTTTAAGCATACCACAGGCTTTGTCCTTCTAGGACTTATTCTAATATGAATATTTTCAATGAGAATATAGTTACTTTTTTTTGGGTCAGCAAATGCGTCTGGCATGTTTTGTAAAATATTGCATATGAATTATCTTTTTATGAACTTCAGGTTCATATTATCTTATTCGAGAATCTAGATGTAGAAATGATAATTCATCCCACGTAACTTTTTCTCAACTGTTTATCTTGTCTCCCCTCATGTAAGAAAAACTAACTTTCTTCCTCAATTTTGGGAACCTATCTTTGTGCATTATGGTGTTAATGAAAATATACACCGCACAACAATAATAATAAGATTGAATTATTTGGTTCCTGACCCTAAATCACTTATGATAGGAGAATGCAATATACTTTCGTATATAACGTATATCAAACTGACATAGATAACTTTGTTCTCATTAGCAACAATTTAGCTATTAAATGGAGGCACTCAATAAATTATTTTGCTAAATCAACTGTGATGAAAACCAACTTATCAAGATGAATTGTCTTGAATAGAAAATCTGAAAATTATGCTCTAAATTAAATTATTGAGCAAGTTACCTCACAAATACCAGGTTGCGGGTTAATAATAATCGCATATGTAACCATCTCATAGATGCATCTTATGTGGTATACATAGTAGGTGAATGAGCCATATTCACCTTTGATATTTCCAGCATTCATGGGATTTAATCCCAATTTTAGTTGATCTATTAATTAATGAGAACAAGCAACGTAAGAGAATTCGTAAAGAACTTTGTAGTTCTTTAATATTTACCCATGTGAATTCTCTTTTATTTTTGCATATCATACTTAAATTATCATGGCTAAATCAATTATGCCAACTGAATAAATTATCAATATTGATAAACTTTATGTTTACACCAAGACGTGTGCAATTATCAATAAACTCTCAAGTTTATTATGATATGGGTTTTTATATCAATAAACATCCACTTTATTGTGGTATTCTTTTATTTGTGTAGTACAAACTGGAGAATAAAGCGGGTAACTTTTCACATACATATTATCCCGCTACAAAATGTAGTAATAGAAGATATTAATTCTTTCATTTTATAGTCTCAATTTAACCAACCGTTTTCGCAAATACTTTAGAAACTCAATTAAGTTTCTTTGAGACTTACTACAACACAATAAATTGACATGATAATCAATTGTATTCCTCCAAAAATAGTAATAATTGGTTCTTCCAGAGCTCTCAATTAATTTGTTATTACCATATATTCATCAACATCTATATGGTAAATATCTCTTTTAAAGAGAAAGTTATACCATTATGGTCATGGTCAGAATTCTATACAAGATCTGTTCCTTGCATTACTGTTACCCTTTAATAATCACATCGCCAAAAATATTTTGGCGTACAATAGGTATGTGACCAATGACCATTCATGCCATAATAATGACATTATTTTCTTATACCATCTCAAACCTCCTTCTAGGGATGAGTGTTGTATATTCACTACCACTAGCACGCTCATATTCTTCGAAGAATGAATATGTATTTGTTAATCAGATGTTGTCACATTCACATCATGAATGAACCATAATATTCTATATGTGTTTTATAATGATGATGACTATTATAATTTCATTTATTGCCACGTCCATATCCATTGATACCTTCATGGTAATAATTTTGTCTTCTTTTAGACTTATTATATATTGCTACCACATTCTCTTAAGGGAATGAGAATGAAGCAAATTCAATGGGATAAGTTTTCACTTCTTTGCCCACAATTATACATGAATTTGATCATGACAAGGTATAGAAATTTTACCACTTTAGGTGGTTATAATTGCTTACAAACTCCATTAGAGTTACAATCAAAATTTATCGTCTTTGCTTGTATTTAAAATCAAATTATAGAATGTCAAGAATTTTAAAGGGAAAAATAAAGTAAAATACTTATCTTAAATCCAGAATTTAATCATGAAGGAAGTTCATGGAACAATTGACAATCATTATGCTCAATCCCAAAGCTTTTACTCAATTGATTAGAGTTACATGCTGATAACGTGTTATAAAATAATAAAAGAAGAATATTGCAAAGAAACAACAACAACAACAACAACAATCCAATATAATCCCACTTAGTTGAGTCTGGGGAGGGTAGTGTGTATGCAGACCTTACCCCTACCCTGGGGTAGAAAGACTGTTTCCAAATAGACCCCCGACATCCTTCCCGCCAAGAAATTCCCAACTTGCTCTTGGGGAGACTCAAACTCACAACCTCTTGGTTGGAAGTGGAAGTTGCTTACCATCAGAGCAACCCCTCTACTTATAGGGTAAAAATGACTTAGCCACCAAGTGACAAACCCTAAAATCTTTCTAAAATATAAACATTCACCTTAAATAGAATTCTATTTATAATTTTTTTTTGAAAAATACAAATAAAGGAACAATTTCTTTAGATATTCATATGACCCACCTACGCCGCGTGTGTAGCTAATAATTCTCCACGTCCACAAGAAAATCTAAATAATAGCAAATCAAATATGAAAAATCTTGAAAAGTTGGTTGAGGCTGTCCTTAACGGTTTATTGTCACTCACACAAACACCTCCCTCCAAAATTCTCAAACAATGGCAACAATGGAAATTGGTAATTTAGGTCTTCGATTTAGGCCTCAAATTGCCATAAATCCAACTAGAAATAATTATTGCAAGCAATTTCTTGGTCAGAAAAAGCAAAACAAGAAGAGATTTTTAGTATGTTCTGTTGTGGACCAAAAAGAAGCTAAAGTTTCTTCATTTAGTAATGAAGAAAATGCCCTAATTGAAGCTCTTATTGGTATTCAAGGTCGTGGTCGCTCTGCTTCTCCTCAACAACTTCAAGTCAGTTCACACATTTTTCCCAATTCTTTTATTTTTTTCTGATTTTTTGTTCTAACTCTGCTCTATTTAGTGATAGATTTTGAAGCGTTTATTGATATACGTGAATTATGAGTTTGTATGATTTTTTTCGATCCAGTTTTATTTTGTTTGGTATGATAATGACATGAGCTAAGCTTAAATAGAGAGTGAGGATTCATGTAGCCGACCTCAACATGTTTGAGACTGAGGGCATAGTTATTGTTATTATTGTAGTTTAGTAAGGTGATAAGATAATACAATGGGCAGCCCGATGCACGAAGCATCCCGCATTCACACAGGATTTGGGGAAGGGCCGCACCCCAAAGTGTAATAAGATAATACGATGATAGATTATAATATGGATATTATATAGTACTCCACCTGTTTCATTTATATGGTAGTGTTTGATTAGATACATAGTTTAAAAAAGAACGAAAGACGTTTGGCTCATACAAAATAGCCTTTAGAACTTGTGTCCTTTAATGACATCTCTACCTATAAGAGCATGTCATTAAGGATACAACAACAACAACAACAACAACCCAGTGTAATCCCACAAGTGGGGTCTGGGGAGGGTAATNTGTCATTAAGGATAAAATGAGAAATTTAAAGTTAAAGAGTTTTTGGAACAAACCAAAAATTAAAGAAAGCCATATAAAATGGAACTGAGGGAGTACATGGATTATGAAATGGAATTAAATAGAAGTAAACTTAATTCCATTTAAAAGAACCCATTTAAATGAGTTATGATTTCTTTTTAATTTTAATCTTTTAGGGGTTATTTGGTGCAGCGGCCGTAGGATAATATAGTGATATAATGCGGGAAATAAAAATACACACTATTGTTAGCTGAGATTAATAATTTGAAGCAATTTTTATGACTATGCAGGAGGTTGAACGCGCTGTTAAAGTTCTTGAAGGATCAGATGGTGTTTCTGAACCGGTGAGTATTATTTCCGTCGCTTTTGCTTTCATGAGTTTGAGAACTCATTAGACTTATTAATTTTTGTAACCGTGTACCCCTTTTTTAGTGTTTATACAATAATCTTAGCTACGTGTGAAGGAAAAGATATCAAAATAGTTATTCTTCTGCAATTTCTGGTTGTGCAATGTGTGACTAAGGAAAAGAAAATTTGATTTGAAAGTTTGCAACTTTACTTTCTAATTTCCTTGTGATGTTGAAACTGGTTACTATTATTTATAGACGAGCTCGAGTTTGATTGAGGGGCGGTGGCAGCTGATGTTCACGACTAGGCCAGGGTCAGCATCTCCTATTCAGGTTACACGCTGTACTTCTTGGTTTTTTATACCATTGACTGTCTACATTTATGTCGTTAGCGACAAATTTCAGGCTAGAGAGTTTAAAAGAAGAATTAGTGGTGAACGCTGATTTCATTGAGATGCCAAATAGCTATATCATGATATGGATTCTAGACCTAACCATTCATAAATCATGAACCCGACAAACATGTGAAAGTAAAGCGACGTTACAAAGTTTACTAGGACAGGAAACCTAGATTACCAATGGTATCTAATGGGGCTGAATTGAGTGCTACAATGGAATATAAGCACTTGAGCTAATTTGCTGTTTTAGTATGAAAATATAAGAACGACTTTTCATTCGTTAACCTTGAGCTTGCTTTGTAAAGCCAGCAAACATCTTCTATGTATTCTTCAGGCCAAAAGATAAAAAAGAACAGATTTATAGCGTTAATGAGGTTTTTTAAATAGTCATTTTTCCTATCCGAGCCTAAACTTGAACACCACTTTGCAGAGAACTTTTGTTGGGGTAGATTCATTCAGTGTATTTCAAGAAGTGTTCCTTAGAACGAATGATCCACGCGTATCCAACATTGTAAAGTTTTCTGAGGCAATAGGTGAACTGAAAGTAGAGGTATGAATCTTTTATCGTATTTTCTTCAATAATTATTGACTTTGTTCTAAAGCTTACAGAAACACTCGATGCCTGTCCTATCAAATTTATTCCATTTCTGCTCAAACTGTAATATTTTTGTTTTGGTGGGTGAAGCGCTTGCGTTTGTGGGGGGGGGGGGGGGGGGGGGGGGGAAGGAGCGGAGGAGATGCTGCAAAGATTAAAAAGAAGAAAACATCCAAGTAGAAAGTAATGTGTTTCTTTGATATTGATATCTTGAATATATGTGCATCTTTTTTTTTTCTTCAGGCACTTGCGACGATCAAAGATGGAAAACGAATTCTTTTCCAATTTGATAGAGCAGCCTTTTCGTTCAAATTTCTACCCGTCAAGGTTCCATACCCTGTACCTTTTCGACTTCTGGGAGATGAAGCTAAGGGCTGGTTAGACACAACGTATTTATCTCCATCTGGAAATCTCCGTATTTCAAGAGGAAACAAGGTAGGAGAGCGTAATAATTAGCTAACGATCGCATTCGCTTTTCCTCACCGTTATATGATATACGTCATGAATATTAGCCAGTAAGCTGTATCTCACAGCTCCTTTTTAACGGGTAATCAGTTAAGCGTTTAAGGGCCACAAGCTATACTGCTATAGTGCAGGGAACTACATTTGTGCTACAAAAGGAAGCCGAACCAAGACAAAAATTGCTTTCATCAATTTCAACGGGTACAAGTGTTGAAAAGGTACGGATGTTACTTTTCGGTGAAAATTCTGTTATAGATGGTCTACAATTCTTTAATTCAATTGGCTAATACTTTTCGTGCTGTGAAATTAACAGGCAATTGATGAATTTATTTCCTTGAACCAAAATGTAGCAAATCCTGAATTGGAACTACTTGAGGGAGAGTGGCAAATGATATGGAGTTCACAGGTATCTGTCCACTCAAACCTCTCTTTCCCTTTCGAATGCCAAAAGTTTGGCATAATGGAAAAGCTCAAAAGCAGACCATTCTATACTTGCTTATGAATAAGATCGATATTCACTAGGTGAAAGGGAGTTGTAAACAATGCAACTTATAGCACATGGAAACTGTAGCATCTGATTAGATACAGTCTAATAGAGCGCAACAAATGAGTGCCGACACAAACAGTAGAAAGAATGAGATAGATAGTGAGATTTTCCTCCTCAAGAAGCTACTCTGAACATGCTAAAGAAAACCCAAAATTTCGAGAAAGAGAAGGAAAGGATTTAGGTGCCAGTGTTCAGTGGCGGAGCCACATGTATTCAGTTGCCGGAAAATTACACTGCACAGCTAGGTAAAAAAGAAAATTATTGTTGAATTTGGAAAATCCCACATCGGTGGTTTAGCCATTTGGTGGAAAAATTTTCCCTATAAAAGTAGGCCTAATGTTTAGGATTTAGACACACCTCTCATTTGCCTTCTTATTTTCTTAAGGCATTTGTATCTTCTCTCTTTAGTATTATTTCATTTGTAATTTTTGAGTGGAATAAAATATTGGTTGTGTCCGAGAAAGTAGACAAAATTGGCCGAACCTCGTAAATTCTGGTGTTCCTTTTATTGTTGTTTTATTGTCTTATTTATTATTTGGTGGTTGTCATAATTTTTGGTATAGTAGTTGTAACTCATTCACACTATATACATTTGGCTTCCGCAACAATTGGTATTAGAGCCAAGGTACTGTCTAAGTATGCTCTGTGGTTGCAACATAGTCTGATCTTCCACATCTGAAAAGATTTATCTTGGTAACTGAGTCAAGGATCTGTCTGAGTATGCTCTGTGGTTGCAGCTTAGTCTGATCTTCCACACCAGAAATGAAATAATCTTGATTTGTGTCGTCAGCTATTAAATAATAT